GAGTTGAAAGCCAAGTAAAATAGATGTGTTTTAAGACGAGCTTTAAAAGTGGACAGTGAAGGGGCCTCTCTGACCTGCAAAGGCAAGTTGTTCCATAATTTGGGGCCCATGACAGAGAAAGCCCTGTCCCCTCTGAGCTTCCTTCTTGATCTCGGTACCTCCAAAAGCAGCTGATCTGCGGACCTGAGAGACCGATAAGGTATGTATGGGTGAAGAAGCTCAGAGAGGTAAGCCGGGGCAAGATTATGTAGTGATTTAAAAACAAACATAAGAATTTTAAAATGAATCCTAAAATATGCAGGCAGCCAGTGAAGTGAGGCCAGGATAGGGGTCACGTGTTCCCTCTTTCGAGTTCCTGTCAACAGTCGTGCAGCAGCATTCTGTACTAGCTGCAGACGTGAGAGCAGCGACTGACTGACTCCCAGACAAAGTGCGTTACTGTAATCCAATCGAGTTGAAACTATTCTATGTAGTTTATTTGTCTTTTCAGACTTTTCTATCAGGCAAACATTTGAGTCGCACTCAGAAACTTCATTACATTTTGTGATTTGAGGTGGTTGAGGCTTCCGCTAACTAGCTGCTAACAAAACCTTTCTAGCTAGCTGATTATTAATTATCTCCAGTTGACCCAATGACTTTCGTCTTTGCCATTGGACAACTTATGTTGCAAACCTGTTTGATGGTCAAAAAAAGCCTGGCACTAATATATGAAATATGACATTTGCTTTCACACATTTCTGTCATAAAACAGGTCTTAAATTTCATTCATAATGGTCTTAAAACGGTCTTAAATGTGATTTGGTGAAACCTACACCAACTGTCACGATAAAAAGTAGACATTATTCCTACTGTGGCTGTTTAGTAAATCTTTACAGCTTGTTAGAAAAGTTTAAAGTGAACTTGTCCTTCTCTTGTTCTTCAGGTCTTTTAATCCATTCTTTCCCCTGCTGGAGTGTTTTCACACACCTGGCGTCCAGCTGTGGGCAGCCTGGGCCATGCAACATGTATGCAGCAAAAATGGTGAGACACGAACACTTTTAAATAACGTTTCTTATACATCTGTTTTTTCTGCAGTGATGTACTGTATTGTAAGCGGTCTGTCTTTTTCGGTCTTCAATACACGCGCACATTATGTACATTTGTAGAAAAGTGGTCAGACTCGGTTGCACGTCCTTTGGATCGCGAGTCCAATACTTTTATTTCTAATAACTGGATAGTATTTTCTGCTATAGTCTTGTGCAGTATATTATTATTCTTATTTTTAACACTTTAAGAATTTTTAAACTTCGTGTTGCTGTTGCACCGTAATTTCCCTTGTGCAAGACAATAAAGGCTGTTATTGTGCTATTCAGATATTGGTGCTGATAAAGGTATTGATAATCCTTGAAGTTTTTAGATATGTTTTTGTCAAGATTTGTAAGTTCAATGACGTTTTTTATGCGTTCTGCCTAAATAGATTAGCTGAAAGTTAGCTTACGCACACCCCAAACTCTGCTGGAAACAAATACCTGCCACGCTTTTCAGATTTTTATCAGTCAATACTTTGAAAACCTACCATCCAATTCTTCCCACCACCCCGCTCACCTCTCTGATGTTCCGTTGCCACTTTGCTGCAGCGTCTCGCTACTGCAGCATGCTGTTGGAGGAGGGCGGCTTGGACCAGCTGGAGCACGTCCACACGCACCCGCAGACCCACAAAGATGTGAAACTGCTGGCTGAAAGCATCCTGGAGAGCCTGCAGCGACACAGAGCGCGCACCGGCCAGCCCGCGCACACAAGTCGACGCCCGCCCGCACAGTAACAGGTGAAGAAAACTTAAAAAAATACGATAAAATAAAATAAAAAGCTTACAGCTTCAAAGACGTCTCATCCTCTGGCGTCTCCCCTTTCAGAAAACGGTGAGCCCTGATGAAGAAAGGGAGCTGGAATGCGGTCTCGTCACGGAAAAGGGAGTCGTGTGAGAGCAGAGCGCATGCGTGGGCGATTGCGACGCCCGTCGCGCAACGCAAACGCTCACGGATGCTTCTGAAGAAAACAGGAGCAAAAGACAGAGAAAAAGCTAATGTTTGCACACTCTAAACCTTATTTATTTCCTTTGTGTTCTTTTCAAGACAGAAATATTTTGAGCCCAGCGATAGGGGGGGGGAAATTGAAATCCTGATAAGCTGGGTTTTGTATTTGTGCTCGCTCTCGTTCGCCTGAGCACTTGGATGTTTCTCGCACCAGAAAACGCTGAGGTGCGTCGAACCCCAAACCGACTGACTTGAGCGATAGGGTGGAGCTTTCAATGGCTCCAGGTGTGTTGCCAACTTCTTTATTGTCTGAAATGGGGGGTATAACTTTAAATACATGCATGACACTGCTGAGAGCTCAAGCATGCTGGTGTGAATGCTCGTACTATTGGTTTTAATAAACGCCTGCACGTTTGACTGTAGCGGAGCTCCAAGCACTAAAATCATGCCTCTGCGTCTGCAGCGCCCGCTTTATCTACCTGCTAAAGGGGAACTTGATACGGATGCGCTCGGAGGGTCTAAGTGTTCCACAAAATTACTGAGAATTTCTAGTAAATTGATATTTCCTAAACTCGTTTGAGTAACAAATCAGTTTCAAAACTCAGAAGCAGATTTTATTGGAATATTTAGCCCATTATGTCTGTCTGTTTTTTGTGCAAGTGTATTCTTCTGGACACAAATGCTAATAACGACCTGGGCAGAGTAGGCGTCATCAGTTTTTCTCCTTGGGAAACGCCTGTATATACGTTTACGTTCTGCACTGCTTCCCAACCTGCCGGTCTGAAGGAGCTGCCTTTTCTATATGGTGTAATATATAACGAGGACAAAATAGTTCTCTGCCAAGGAGGATTTCAGTTTTTGCATGCAGTTTTATTCAGATATTGTTTTTTTGTTTGTTTTTTTTCACCCCTAACATAAATAGGAATCATGTCAAAGAGGAAAAACTGCTGACTGTGATGCCACACCATGTTGGATGCCTCTGCTGTCCTCAGGGTTCCCATACAGATGCTTATTTTCTCCATGCAGCTTTAAATCTGAAACATTTTTTAATCGTATCACAGGACCACACAGAGTTGAGGTTCAGCATTGTGGCCATTTGAAGCAGCTTATTTTAAAATCTCTCAAACAAAATCCCTTGCAGAAGTATTTGAACTTTTAAAAATGTTTTCCCTTTACAACTTAATGAGTAGAAGAATGACGGACTGATTTCATACCGCTTCTAATTTTTTTTTTTGTCCTACTTTACTTTGTGTTTGTCACACAGAATTTAAATAAAATAATTTGAGGTTTGTGGCTAAATGAATGAAAAATAGTTGCTGCTAAAGTTTTTGTTCTCACTTAATTTATTAGTCATTTAGGAACCACTGCTTTAGATGCACAAACATTTTTTATACTCAGTTTATTTATTTTTTTAAATGCTTATCCAGACTTTGAATAATACGAGTTACTTGCATGTCCAGACTGCATAGGAACCCAGAGGACAGACGCTGCCACTTTAATTATTCACTTCTTAGTTTCTCACGTTGCATTTTCTGTGCAAGTCGCATCAACCTGCGTTTTACAAACTGCGGTTAAAAACGGAGATGCCATGAAGGACAGGTCAGTTTGCATACATAAGGTGAACTATGATCACAGGTCCAGAAACCAAAAATAACATAAGTCAGTCAGTGAAGCTTACCTACTGTACACCGCCTCATCTGCTCAGTGAGTTATGGCCTTATGGTTTTGTTAAATTTGTCATGTACCGTTTGTTATGCATCCAACTGGGACTGGATTATGAGTTTTAATAAGGATTTCTGTCGCTTCAATTGAATCCGGCTGTTTCGTCCATTGCTCAGATTTAAAGCCAGTTTTTGTTTTCTTACGATTTATTTCAACTAGAAAAGGGGTAAAAAAATAAATAAAAATGAAAAAACCGAGACTGTGCCATACTGCTGCTCAGTCATGTTTTAAAGTATGAAAATAAAGAATGTATGTTGCCATATAAACTGTTTTTTTTTTTTTTTTTTAGTCCACTCAAAAGATTATGAGCTATAAGATACAACACAATAAAAACATGGCCTGTAACATCAGTTTTCATAAAACTTAGGTACAGACCATCAGGAAAGCAGACAAAAAATATTTTTTGATCAATACCAATTAGTAGTTTTGAACCATTTCATTTTATTTTTCTAAACACACAAAAAAAAAGACCTGCTGGTTCCTCAATAGAGGAGATATTTTTGCACAAAGTAAAATGACATCATCTCCAACTAATCAAAACATATGCTACTACTTTTACAAAACTCAAAGTTCAAGTCAAATTATCTACTGATGATCGATAACGACGATAGATTTGATCAACAGAACCCACCCACTCGTATCCTACTATATCTCCTTCTGAACTTTGGGTCAACTAAGTAAAAAATAATTTTGCAGCCCTCACTGACTAAAAACTTTAAATGCATCGTTGGATTTGGGGAAAAAACAGATTTTCTTTGCAACGGTGTTCTACAAATATCTTTCTTCAAATTCATGTTGGTATGTCGGTGGAGCGCTTTCATTCCCCGGTGTAACGTGGCTGTCTCTTCTCGATGAAGGCCGCCATGCCCTCCCGTCGGTCCCGTGTGGGAATGACCTGATAAGGAACAGACGCCGCGTGAGGAACTGATCAGCTTTTACTGAAAGCAGTAAAGCTCTAACAAGTATGACACATGGGAAGGCAAAACCTTTGGAATCGTTCACTTCTTTACATTAAAACAATGATTCGGAAACGTCGCCGGAAAACGTACCCTGGCGTAACACAGCCTCTCTATCGCCATTGCTGACCCAATGTCAACCTGCGGGAAATGGATTGCGGTCACTCCGTGTTTTGATATAAAGACATTGCAAGAAGCAGATTATGAAGATGAATCCCTCATGCATCACCTCAACACCTCTATTTATTGCTTCTTTGGCCATCCGCACTGCAAAAGGAGCCTGGTGATCACAAAGGAAACGACATTGGATTTTACATCCATTTTTTTTTTTTTTTTAAAAAGATGTATTTAAAACTGGACACAAAAGCTTTTCAGTTTTTTAATTAAACAAAAACTGTCGAGGAAAATACAAAAAAAACAAAAAACAAAACATGCATTACTTTATATACATGGCTTTCTCAATCAGGTCACAGTTTTGCAGAATGGAGCGTTATCAAGGCTCCATTTACTTTCTGAACTGTTTCTGAAACACTTATCTGGTCACATTTTTAAAAGATTTAAAAGCATTAAAGATGCATGTTGAGTAAAAATATGTTGAGGGCCATTTTGGGGTCCTCTACCTACCACTGGTCCATATTTATGTCCCACTCTGCTTCTTCAGAACATTCAGATGATATGACTGGACGGCCACCACCTATTAATTTGCAGCTAAAAATAGACTGTGATCTAACCTGGGGTAGAATCTCTCTGGCCAGGGCCAGAGCCTCTTTGTAAGCAGCATCTCCGCTCTGGTTCTGCTCTACGGCTCTGTTTACAAGCCCCAACTCGAGAGCGGTCTGGCCTCCCACACGCCTCCCTGAAAACACACAGAGACGGACAACCGCATCGCTCCATCAGACCCTCTTTGAGTCTGCTCCGACGTCTGCATTTCTGTCTCGCCACCACCTGTGAATATGAGCTCCTTGGCCAGAGTGACGCCGACCATCCGCGGCAGCCGCTGACTGCCCCCTGCAGGACAAAAACCCCGTCAAGGTGAACTTCTCGCAGCTCCTTCGCAAAGCAAATCAGTGCGGCTCGGGGTGATTGCTGTGAGCTCCGGTGGACTTACCCGCCCCCGGGAGCAGCCCTCGCGTTGTCTCAATCAGACCCATCTGGGCTGAAGTTGCTGAAAGACACGCACGCAAAACAGAGGACGGGTGAAGGTCAACATCTGAGTGATGCCTCTGTCAGAGCGTCGGGACCCAAACACCTGCTCACCTCGCTCAGCCGTGCTCAACCAATCACTGAAGTGCCACACCTAATATAACCTATCCCGCGGTGATGTATGTACATGCACAGCTGGGCAGATGGCTATCATTAGCGCCACGGCTCCACTCCAGGCCATTAAAACACCCGAGACAATAAAAGTGATAAGAAATTTATCCCCTTTACTGCCTGAATTATTTACAGCTATGTAAAGAAATGGATTGTAGATGTAATGTAGAGATATTTAGTGGGGAGAAAATCTGTTAAACCTTGACCACTAGATGGCGACAAAGGTTTCCAATATGACTTTTGGATAGTGTGGGATATGCATCGTCAGGCATTAGTTGGATAAAGTAAGGCTGCTGGGAATACGCTGTGAATTCACAGCAACAAACTATCCAATGACCAAAAGTTGTTGAATTAATTTCCTCCTAATCTCTAACATAGGCATTAGAACCCTAACTTTAATCCTAATTTCTTCCCATTTGTTAGATTTACATTTTCCACAGGTATATGTTTTTAAATTCATATCACAAAGCGTTTCACTAATTTGCCCACCCAAAAAGACTTCTTGTATCCAGAAATTTTTATGGTACAGCAGCTTAATTTTGTCATCAGACTAAACAATTATTTACTGTAACACTACTGAGTTTTATGGGGTTTTTTTTATAAGGCTGAAATCTGCTCAAAAAGGAGCCTAAGTGGGGTTAACATCTAGCCTTCCACCTCCATGACAATTTCTCCTTGTTTTGTAAGATACTGAAAACAGATAACTACCTCACATATCCCTCCCACTGTAAAAAGAAAACCCAACCTATTCCATTGTTGCCGTTCTCTGTAGATTTTAAGGCATCTTATTCATTCTCGTTTTCTGCAACACGTGGATGACTTTTCAAATGGAAACATTTGTGCTGCGCTCTCACTTGGACAGTGTCCAATGTCCTTAAAATTCCTCAGTGAAAAGGGAAGATAAACATGATTTTCCACAGCAGATCAGTGTTGATAGTGAGGCACTTACGGTTCCTTGCAAGTATTTATACCACTTCAAATTTTCCACCTATTGCCATGTTTTAACTTCAAACTTAAATGATTTATATAACACAGAAAGGTTCATAAATGCTTAGAGCGAGAAAAATGACAAAAATGATTTTTAAAAAATGATGTAAAAAAAATCATAATCATAACTCTGATCTTGAAAAGCTGTGCATAAGTGTTCAGCGTCACTGAATCAATGTAACCCACAATAGGATCCAGCACTTCCATTTCATAATTTATGTTGTATGCTTTTTTAATGGGATTTCACACAAAATACCACTAAAATACATTAAGATCTGGGGTAGTTGCCTCACAAAATGTGAATGTTGAAAACGGACCAATACTTTTGCAGGTCATGTGCCCTCTGAGAATGTTTTTCGTGAGACCTTGGGACGCACCAGTACCTCGTGGTGAGCTCCACTGCTCTGAGCAAAAACTGATGCAATCTGGGAGCTGTCGGTCTAACGCAAAGACTGACAATGGAAGTTCCTATCCTCCGTCACCCTGTGTAAACTCACCCGCTGACCTTATATGACTGGATTACTGACAGCTGCAAAGGGAGAACATGACGTCCCCCTTCCAGCTGCATTAGCGTCACCTGACTGAGCAGCCGTGTGCCTTTTCCCCGGCCGGGCTTTTGACAGGTGAGGTCACTCACAGGCAGTGCGCAGGTCGCAGGCCAGGGCGAGCTCCAGTCCACCCCCCAGGGCGACGCCGTCCATCGCCGCGACAGTGGGCGTGGGCAATACCGCTGCCGAGGCAGTTAGGACGAGGTGAGGAAAGTTCAAATCTCCACCTCAAACTCATCATTCAACCCCCGTATATTGTTTCCCCCCGCTACCTATTTGAGACATGAGGGAGCGCAGGCTCTGGACAAACAGATCGGACTCGGAGTTGTCCATCAACGCTCGTTCTTTCAGGTCGGCACCTGTGAACAGAAATTGTCACTGGTCCACAGATTCACTAAGAACTTTCACGCAGAGCCTGGCCTCCCTCCCCCCCATCACCTGCACAGAAGACCCCCGGCACCAAACTCCTGAAGATCACCACACGAACCGCTGAGTCATGGGACAGAGTGGACACCAGCTCCCTCATCTGCACACAAAAGAGTTCAGGTCTGTGTCTGTTCTGCGAGTGTGTGAAGGTGTGTGATGTAGACAGGTCTGCTCACCTGTGACACAAACGTGTGACCGAGAGCGTTCCTTGCTCTGTGGCGGCACATCAGCACCTCCACTATTCCTGAGGGGACAACAGGCAGCAGCACAAACAAAACACAAGACGTTAACCCGAATGGTTAATAATGAACGGATTCATCAAGCCTGTGGGTGGATAAGCTACTGATTGTCAGCAAAGTTCATGTCCCCTGCTAGTGTCTCTGGCTGTGAGCAGTGGAAGTAGAAAAGTCACTTCCTATTTTCTGTGAGTTTGGTTTGTTGGAGATGGTGTGAAAATACTGAGCCATCATGGGATTCCCAAACAGGAATGTGGCTGCAATTATCCCTGCAGCTGTTTATTTTATTAATATTTCCAAACAGTTTGTGTGTATTAACTTTTACTCAGCCAGCTGACAGGCAGTGTGCTTTGAAGTTTCCCCAAAGCCCACATGAACTCTCACACATTATATATCTCAAATTTTACATTTGCTGATAAAGAACAAGCCTCTGAAACAGCTAATTTAGAATAGCTAATTTACAGACCAGGGGTTCACTAGTTACCAATAAACCATCTCATATTAAATGTCCAGACAACAAACAACAAAGAATGGACCATATTAAAAAGATGTCCGCAGTGGTGGGTTTGACCGGAAGTGGAGCCCCCTAAAGGAAGTTCTTCTCAAGGCTCCATTGAACTTCGGTCCGGCTGTGGTTTCAGGTATAGCGGCACAAAGACACATTTCACTCTATGATTTCCCCTGTGAGACAAACACAACTCTACCTTCTAATAATAATCCAGAAGTGGGTCACCTGTGGGAATGCTGCTGCTTCTTTCTTTACTAGTAACCAAGTAGCTGCGCGGATGTTTGCACGCCATACAAAGGATTTAAATGTTAGGAAATAATCCATCAAATGAATGACATGTACCTGCTAACATGACTGCGGTCGAGTTATAATTATGATAACAATAATAATGTTTTTTTTTTTTTTTTTATGTGTCCCTACCCTTGTCCTGTCCCTCTAGCCGCTTTAGGTCCACCTCCACGGACACCTCCGCCGCTGTGTGCTGTGAGCGGCTGTCGGCCCGGCTGCAGGCCGCGAGAGAGCGATTTCCCCCGGCTAGCAGTTTCGTCGCGTCCCGGTGTAACCCAGGGTGTTTAAGTCGTTGCGTTTCCCACCGTGGGACAGCCAAGCGCCGCAACAGAGAGCACCTCGGTACTGCCAGTCTGTAAAGGACAGAAGCCATGTTCAGTTTTTTTGTTTTGTTTTGTTTTGTTTTGTTTTTCTGGTCCTAAAAGAAACGGCGTGAGAGCAACTAGAGAAAAAGTGGCTGGTCGGAGGCAGCAGGAAGTTTACTGGAGGTTTCTTCCTGAGGAAGGAGGGACCTGTTTGCCCCAGGCCGCAGTCAACAACGACAGCAGCGACAACGCCGAGTGAGCAACTCCTTTTATTCACTGTTGTCATAATTTTAACTTACATTTATATAAATAGACGCATATCAAGACTATTTTAATTATTAGTAGTGTGTTCACGTTTTTTTTTTTTTTGTCATGCTATACCTGCTAACTGTAATGCGTGTTTTGATTTTGGATGTGAAAGACCTACACAAAGTAAAGAGTAACATGGTTTTCAGAATGTTTCCTAAACATGCAGTGGTCCTCACTATACTTTACTTTGATACCCACAAATAAAATGCAGAGCAAACAACAGCCTTCAGAGGTCACTTATTGATAAAATGCCACCCAACTGTGTTTAATCTAATCTCAAATAATTCAGTTGTTCCATTAATTTTTTGTTTTTTTTATTTTTTATTTTTGCTGGAGAGCATCAGTGATCAAACATTAGTGAACAAGCAGCACCATGAAGACCAAGACAGCGGACACGTCTGTGGAAAAGTTGTGGAAAGGTTTAAAGCAGGGTTAGTCTTGAGCATCTAACAGAGGTCTACGCAATCAACCATCCAAAAGTTTGAGCACTAACTACAAAGAAACGTGCCTCTCACATTTTTTTTGCTTGCGTTGGTCCTTTTTGGACTAAGCAGGCACGCACATGCAACTGACCCGCAGGCTGCAGGCGGACCTCTAGTTTTGTTGTTGAGGTAAGGTTTTCCATCAGACTGCTTCTGGTCTAGTCTGACCATGCATTATTGAGCACATCTTTTACAAGTTATGCAATCGGTCAGTGACAGACGGACACGTCGTGTGGAAGAGAGAGAGAGAGAGAGAGAGAGAGCTGGATATCTGCATGCACGTCCATGTGATCCGGGCACCGTGACAGAATCTGACCGGTTATCAATCAGACTCCTTTTCTGTCTGTCACAACGATTTTCGGTGTCGGTTTTTATTGTCGCCTGGCTTTGTTTGCTGCTCCTAATTTGCAATTGTGATGTAAATTAACGCTGTGAATAGTGCTCAGAGTGCAGGTGGCTGTGTGTAAAACTGAAGTGAAACTGAAACATTAATGAGGGGTTGCACATGTTCTCATGCTTACCATACACTAGTCCCAGAAATGTGGCAGAATTTTTATTTATTTATTTATTTATTTATTTAGGGGGGAGGGGGGATAATTTAAAAATCAATCTTTTAAGTTAAAGTTTGAGTCAACTTGTGGGTGGAAATCGCAGCTGGAGACCGGCCTCCGGGTTCTGCGGCGCTGCGATGCTGCGATGCGATACCTGTAGGATTTAGAGCAGAACAGGTCGTTCAGATTTGATGTCTGGCATGTTTTCATTCCTGTGCGCCACGAGACGGAAAGTGACCCTGGCAGCTTGAGAGTGAGGCTGTCTGAGTGACAGAAACTGAGCCTGATGGAGTCCGCTGCAGACGGTTTGTTCCTGGGAAAAGAAAAAAAAAAAAGATGCACAAGTTGGACGCGAATCACACCAAAGCCGTGGCCTGCTCTGACGCAAACACGTCAAGGTTGCCTTGATTGTCAACAAAGCAGTTGCCTTCACGTCATATCGAGTTGCACGCTGATTTTAATTTTAGGATGCAGGAGCAAGTTGCTCACAGCCGTCCATGTTCTCAGCTCCATCAAAGCCCAGGGCTGAATGCGAGCAGGGAGGCCTGGTGACAGGGTATGAGGTCAAGCATGAGGGGATGAAATGTCTGCAAGGAGGAAGATGGCAGGCACAGTGACGATCTGCTCAGGGCGAGTGCAATGTGTTTGACCTTTGTGTCTGATGATAGTAGACTGTAATTCTCTTGTTGGCTTTGCCTGCACCTTTAGATGCAGCTCCACATGTCACACACACGCACACACACACACACACACACACACACACACACACACACACACACAGTTTACACTCTGATAAAGGCTACTGAAAAGCTCTTCCTTGCGACATTAGATTGAGCTGAAATAACTTTTTTTTTGTTTTGTTTTGTTTTTGCCTAAGCTTTGATCAGAATATGAACTGTTGCTGATTAAATTATGTAATACGTAAGTTTATCTATTCCAAGCTTTGAATTTTTTTTCGTAGGTTAGTTTTTCTTTAAAATGTATTTTTAAAATCTGTTTCAGATTCATTTCTTTACCTCCCTTCCTCCATTTCCCTTTTCATCCATCACCTTCCCTCAGCCTGCTTTCCACTTGGTCCAATATAATTATTTAGTGTTTTATCAATTCCAACATTTAATGATCCCTGCTGGTGAGTATTTCTGTTCACAGCCTGCACTTTATAAAGGAAAAACTAAATTCTTCACCCAGTGGCATATTACGTGCATCACAGGAGAGAGTTGAAAAATCTAAAGAAAATCTCAGATGATTATTAATTTAAGGTGCAACTTGCTCGTCTGCACAAGAAAGGACGGGATGATGCGTCTCTTGTCACGTGAGCCCATCAGCACGTGGCCAAAGTACGCAAAAGTCCTTCTGCAGGTGTGGATTGCGTTACCAGCGTGTGTTGATACTGGAAATGCAATAGCTCTGAGCTTCCCAGCAGAACATCCCAAACTCAGAGGATCATGCATGTTTCAGCAAACTCCAATGCCGGTCCAGGAAGCTGCTGGTCATTTTGAGTTTTTTTTTTTTTTTTTTTTTTTTTTTTTTAACAATTCAGGGTGTGATTAGCTCATGCAGGGAGAGGGTAGGAGGTGGAAATTTTATTATGATATTTTATGGTACTATTGTGATACTAATTATTAATTATTTATTTTGTGTTTTTTTTAGGTAACTGTGAAGCTGTGACTGCATGGCACAGCTACACAGTGGCACAAACACAGATATTGTCTTGGAAAAACATTCCCATTTGAATGTTTTTAGGTTTCGTCACCTAAATAACTTAAACTTACACTCTTACAAAGTAAGAATTACACTACTGCATTTAATGTTTTCAAAGTTATTGGTGTTATTGACGTTCTCGTGGAAAAAACGGTGAAGAAAATGGTACAAATAACACTTCCAATAAAGCAGTCAGTTTAAAAAAAAAAAAAAAAATCAGTAATTGAAGTTTACTGAGAAAATGATAAATCAAAAATTATTATCCTGATAAATTTTACATGAGAAATGAGGAACTCTAGGGTCAGTGATGACCTGATTGTTGTGTGTTGAAGCAGAAACGCATCTAAAAGCTGCAGGGCCCCTGGTGTATCACATAAAATCTCAATAAAATGCATTGAAATTTTAGCATGGTAAAAACGGACAAAGTGCAAGAGCGAGTTATTTTCAACCATATTCTGATCCAAACAGTGAAATCGAATGTCCTGTCTCTTCATGTCGAACCTTCTCCCTTTCCTTTCCAGATGATGATCACACACAGCACCGAGCCAGTCAAGATGCACGGGTCACCGACCGGTCTTGATCCAAATACATTGTGGAATGATGGAGCCAGACTCACGACCTGAAGGACGCAGACTGACGGGACGAGAAGAAGAGAGGGGGAGAGTTACAGATCAGTCAGCTACCGTGGTAGGAAATAAGTTTCATTATTGATTCTAGTAAATCTCCCAAAGTAAAGAAAAAAAAAAAAACTGACCATGTGAGGTAATGGAGAGGCAGCAAAGGTGACACCTGCGCTGGCATGAGGTTGATCCTCCTTTGTAGGTCGGGAGGATCGGGCAGCTGACAGAGGAGACGGAACACACCCTTAATAAAAAAATAAAGACTCCTCACTGATCACGTTAGGGATCACGTTCTCAGGGGCTCATCCGTCAATTCGAGGAATGTGTGTGTGTGCCCCCCCCCCCGCCCGCCCTCCCTACGCCTCCTTTCACGTGGGCCTGCACTGCACACAAAGCCCTCTGGAAGCTGACACCGTTTAGAGCAGCCAGAGAGGAAAGTTTTACATTAAAGATTCTGATGGCCCATGGCTTCACCAAGCCAAACGGGCTCGTTTTCCTCCAGCTGGCTCTGCACTCGGCCCGAGCTCTGCTGTAATAATGACACATCGGAGTCCAGATAGATAGATAGATAGCCGCGCCTGACCTCGGCGGCTCTGGAATGAGACGATGTCTGCGTGTGTCAGGACTGCAGCATGTGAGCCTGAGTCGTAAAACCACCTGTGATTTATTTTCCTCCTGCCACAGGTTGCTGGTTTGGGAACTTTAAGAGCTGCTTTTTACTACCTTTGATTGCTTTATCCAAGCAGTTCTTTATAGATGCAGAGCAGCGGGTCATCTTAGAATAAATATTAAGGAACGGATTAAAAAAAAAAAAAAAACACAGTAGAATCCACTTTTTGAAGGGAATCTGTGTTTTACAGTGTCCCTTTTCACATTGCATCTACAAATTTCAGTGTATTTCATTAGGATTTTATGCCAGTGTCCAACATGAACTACACTACGAAAGCGAGGTGTTACCGTGAATTAAACGGGAAATGACATGTGGCTTTTTATTGTTTTATAAAAAGAAAATAAATAAAAAAATCTGGCATGCATTTGAATTCAGCAACACTAAATCAATGCTCTCTTAGGCTGGGATTCCAGCTGCATGTCTTTAGGCGTTTGTCTACACCAGTTTACACATTGAATGACTGATGTTCTTTGTTTTTCTTCTCTTTGTAAAATAGTTCAAACTCAGATCAGAGGAAGACACTTTTCCTGTTGAAGTTTGTTCACTAACGTTCTCTTCGCAAACCTCTGACACGGCTGGATTAATACCGACATTAAATTACAAACTCTATTTACCACTTGCATCACTTCTGTGGCACGAAACACACATCCATGCCACACTTTTCAGATTTTTATTAGTAAAAACAACAGAAGGTTAGGCAGTGTTTGTGTCGATCTGTAACATGAAGGCTCAACAAAATGCAGTGACGTTTGTGACTGTAACATCACAAAGAGGTTATGAGTGGCTACTTCCGTGCAAATAACCCTCAAAAACCTTGCAATGATTTTTTATTATTATTTTTTTTTTAAATCTAATTTAATCGGTGACCAGGTGGAAACTTAAAAACGACGCTCCAGCTGTATTCATCCACAGTTCGTCCACATGGATCAGTGTATTGTCAATATGTAGCTGAAATAAGCTTTGATTAGAGTTAAACTATATTCGCATTTATTTTGGACTTTTCTTTGCTTGCAGCCCAGTTAGGTAAAAGTGATTTTTCTTCATTAGGATCCTCTGCCTCGACATCTTATGGTTTTTGGTTGCTTGTTAGTGGAAGTCTCCACTCCGCTCTCAATTGGAGGGATGGAGGGAGGGAGTGGCCTCCATGTTGCTGTTTCTACAGAAGCTCTGCAGGTCTCTTTTGATCCACCTCATCATTGCTTTCAAGTCACTGTCACTGCAGCCTCCACAGACACAATCCAACTTCTCGCACTGTTTAGCAGCAGCCATCCCTACTGCAAGCTAAGTGATTTAACTGAGACAGACGAAATCTCTGGGTCGAATCCAGGAGTCTGTAGCTCTGGTTTTGGGGCGACATGCATCTCTTCAGTCCCTCTGCAGTGGATGTGTTTACACTGGCCCTCCAAACTGCACACACACACCCACACACACACACACACACACACACACACACACACACACACACACACACACACACACACACACCCCTGCTAAAACATCAGGGGTTTTGTCATGTAAAGAAAATCTAGCTTAAATCATTTGTAAAACTTTCTGTACAGCTTAGGTACAATTATCACAAGGTGCACATGAGTACAATACTTTTTAAGTACTTTTTTTTTTAAATTCAGTTTCACCATTCTGTTTTCTTGAGTTCATGTCACATATTTTGAATCTGATTAATCAAATCCCACTCTCCTAATAAGATTATCCTGGATTCTGATGATATTGGGTAAAGCTGTAGTTTGCAGAGAGGTTGTGAAGAATTAAATATTGCAAAAAACTATCAGAAGCAAGATGCAACAAAAATGTGACAGAGAAAAAATAAATAAAGAAAGAAAGAAAAGTGTGAGTATTTTTGCAAGACGCTGTTAGCGTTGTTGCCCCCTTTTTGTTACGGTTGTCGTTGCTGACCAGTCACAGGTGCTGGTGCACTGCAGCAACATAGCTTGAATGGTTATTCAGGCATCACTGCTTTGGGTATGGCACTTATCAATCAATCTTTATTTATCTAACAAAATCTCTATAAATTAATCGTTATAACACGATGCATCTCCAAGCCTCGGGATCCAACGTACCCACTCAAACTAATGTGATCGTCACATTAATCATTTGCCTTCCTTCTTGGTTTTAAGGGTTTAAATCTATCGGACCTAATCATCTTTCTTGCGTAACATATTTAACCGCCTGAGGCTGACCTCGGCTTCAGCAGCTAAGCTCCCAGTTTCAGGAGCGTTCTCATCAAAATGACTGTGGGGAGAATCAGGGAGCACAAGTGGTGACAGTGGTGAGGCAACTGAGTGAATCAGCAAATAAATAAACGCATGCATTTTGACAGCTAAGCGTGTGCGAGTTCACTTCCTTCCTCAATTAAAAATCCCACAATGCCAAACAATTAACAGCCTAACGGAGCGAACACAATCCAATCCGAACGCGTTGTTATTGTCAAGAAGCCGCCGGGGGACACGCACACGGAGGAGAAATTAACCAGCGGACCAGATGAGATAAGGCCCTTTACGTCTGTGTGTGTGTGTGTGTGTGTGTGTGTGTGTGTGTGTGTGTGTGTGTGTGTGTGTGTGTGTGTGTGTGTGTGTGGCTAATGCCGCCTGCTTTCACACGAGATTATGTACATTATTTATTTTTTTTATACAGTCCAACCACCCCCACACACCCCAGCCTCCACATAAACGCAGCAGCCGGTCTTGGTGTCGTGTGGAACCCTAAACAGAATTTGTTTGGGAGACGACGATTTACCACAAACTCAGCTGATGTTCTCTTCATATCATCCCTGTTCAAAGCTCAAGCGTTAAGAGTTCGGGTGTAATCATCGATATAGTTTGTAACTGCAACCAAGTGTGTTTCTTAACCAAGGCAAAGTTGAAACATTCAGCCTTCTGGGTGCAGTAACTTCAGTGAGACATTGTCATCTGGCCTCTGACGTCGGCCTGACAAAGGTTTGCTCCACTCCTCGTTTTCATCTGTGAGACGTTTGAGGTGTTTCTCACAAAGCCTCTCCACCGCATCTCAGTAAATCTAAGATCTGGTTTCTTTTTCTTAACTTCTGCAGGAGTTAAGAAAAAGAGTAATTTCTAAATCCACCGGTGGATTTAGGAATGTTTTTTGGGGTTCATTGTTATCTTGCAGGATCCAGTTCTGCTTCAGTTTTATTTATTTTCTTTATTATTATTATTACTTTTTTACAGATGGTCTCAGCTTTTCTTCAAGCACTCTCTGATTAGTTTTACAATTCACGGGGAGCCCTATTGCACCTCCAGTTCCATAATTCACAGCTGGTATGAGGTTCTGTTGGTGAAATGTTGGTTTATACCCAACATATAATCTATTCTGGTGTCGACATAATTCACTTTTAGATTCTCTCGGGTTTGCCTGTTCCTGCACTCACCTGCCTGTTCACCCTCCGATGGATCGTCATTCACTGAGCATCGATCACCGGGCGGTCGCCAGCCTCGGCTTCGTGGGCAGACTCGCCTCCTCCTGGAGCTCTGGTGACCCCTGCGTCGGTAAGATCCACCCTCTTGGAACCTTCAGACTTCATCAACATCACTTTTTGTAATTAAAACTATTTTTGCATTAGTTCTGCTGAAGCACTGACTCTGGACTGAACCATGACGAGCCAAATAAAGGATATTAATCATTAAACTGGAGTCTGATAACTTTATCCTGGGTCACTTTTAAAAATGTAAAGCCATAAAATATTTCACTCTGTCTACATGGATTTTATACATGGGATGATATGACATTCCACTATCACATCTCTGTGTTTTAACAAATGCTGGAGAAACTGTATCACCCTGCGACCTTCTCTGGCATCATAATAATAATAATAATAATAATAATAAAACAACTAGATGTTAAATCGACTTATGCGCATGGTTCGCTTCTGCCTCGGGCCGGCCCTGCTTCTCATTTTGTTTGCGCATCTGTTCACCGGACGTCTGGTTTTCTGAAAAAGGGCATCACCTTGTGACGTCAGCAGCACAAATCACCTACATGGCTGAGTCACACACGGGCACACACACGTACAAGTGTGTGTCCGTGTGTGTGTGTGTGTGTGTCTGTAGCTGCGGTTTGAGCGCGTATGTGCAGAGGAGGAGGGGGGAGCGCAGTGGGGCGCGCTGAGCGGCAGAGAGAGCATCAGTACAGCGCAGCAGAGCGCCGCGGTGACACCGGGAAAGGACGCACCGATCTCCGAGGAGAGGGGGGAAATCAGCTTTTGTTTTGTTTGCTGGATAGCGTCACACACACACACACACACACACACACACACACACACACACACACACACACACCTGACAGGCGAAGACAAAAAAAAGAAAAAAAGACAACAACAACAAAAGGGAGGTTGCGCAAAAGTAGTCTGCAATATTCAGGATTTCAGCCGATTTCTGCAAGTCGTGGCATCTTGTTTGGAAACTAGTCAAACAATGCACTCTGTCGGAGACGGCTGATGCCCGAAGATGGGACTCGGAGGAAGTTTTTGGCGACGTCCCGCTGTTTTGTGGTCCTCAGGTGGGACAAAGTCTGGTAGGTCTCTCCGGTCACCTTCTGCTATAATGCCTTGTGGCGGCGCGCCGGCGTGCGTGTGACTGACTGACTGACTGACTGACCGACAGTCTGTCCAAGAGAGAAAGAGAGGCTGGATAGAAACATCAGGCAGGCTGTCAGGCAGCGACGGCTGGACTCCCAGCGCAGGCTTCTCTCCTCTCTCCCCGCTCCCCAGACTCATGCAGGATGCCCGGGAAGCGCCGCCGGGGAGCGCTGGTCCAGCTCAGCCCGAGTTCATGACGCCCTGGGCGGTCTCGTCATGCGTTTCTTGCCCGTGCCCAGCGCCCATTCCCTCAGGCTTCTCTTCCTCTTTATTTTCGTGATGGGGGTGGCCCCCTCTCCGGCACTCACAGCCGGCTGCCCCGACGGATGCGTGTGCGACGACCAGCTGGTGGTCCAGTGCGCCGGGCAGGATCTCACGCTGTTCCCCAACGACCTGCCCCTGGCGACCCGGCAGCTCATCCTCTCCAACAACCGTATCGCGGACCTGCCGCCCCTTCAGCTCAACTACCTGTCCGACCTGGTCTATCTCGATTGTAGCAACAACTCGCTGACAGAAATCTCCGAGTCTACTTTCGGGAACTTGCGGAAACTCGCCTACTTGGACTTGTCTTTCAACACGCTGCTGCAGATCGAGGACCGGACTTTCGGGCCCCTTTCTTCCCTGGTGATGCTCCGGATGACGGACAATCCGAATCTGGGAGAGATCCACCCGGACGCCTTTTCGGAGAACTTTGCTCTGCAGGTCCTGGACGTGAGTCGGAACAACCTGACGGTCTTGAACATCAGCAGTCTGATCGCTCTGCCCGCTCTGCGCTCTCTGGGCCTCAGCGGGAACCCGTGGAGGTGCGACTGTGACACCGAGGACCTCTGCCTGTGGGTGCAGATAGAGGGATTCAAGTTCCAAGGTGAGTTCGGTCAAAACCTGTCCGAGGCAGTTTTCAGAAATCATTGTTGATGGGTGTAGGGGTAGGCGATACGGTCTTAAAGTTTTCGATATTCGCGATGTTTTTTTTGGTGGGGGTGTGAGGAGGATTATTTATTACTACTGTTTTTTAGGTGATTTTATGACTGTGACTGTGTGTCACAGCAATAACAGTGTTACAAACACAAACAATGCTCGTGAAAGACATCCCCAATTTTGATCCACCCATCCAAGAAGTGTGTGTTTGTGTTGTTTTTTTTTTTTATCACTGAGCTGCACATGGTAACTGTATTATTATTGAACAAACATTGGAGCAAATGGTAAAGTTATCAATCCTGTCAGGACAGTTTTGGGACATTTTAAACATCATTCATTTGAATTTATCATAACAACAATAAATCAAAAATTTCTATCATAAGTAATTTGTCATGATAAATGATACTGTCATGATCCGTGTTTTTCTGTTTAGTTATTTTGGGATTTTCTGTGTTTAGTCCTGTTTCCCCGAGTCTCTGTGTTGTCCTCTCAGCCCTTGATTGTTCCCAGGTGTGTCTCGTTCCCTTGATTACCTCGTGTGTATTTGAGTCCCCCTGTTGTCTCTGTCTCTTGTCGGGTCCTCGTCAAACGTACGTCATATGTCTTTTGTCTGCTTGCCACCACAGTCGTACTGTTAAGTCCTGTGTTGGTTCCGCTCTCGTTTTCAGTCCGTTGTTCTTTCAGTTGCTACCGGTAATTAGCTGTGTGCTAACTCTCTGCCGTATTGGACTGTCTGATCTCTCTTCATTAAATCCATCATTTCTTTCACAACCTGGGTCTCTGAGCATCCCTAATGCATACGTTATTTGTATTTATTTATTTTAAGAAACATTCCAACATAAAATATCTTATGCATTGTTATTTGTTGAAAATGCCTCTGCTGTGCGGCATCTTTTCCTTTTTCTGGCTTGGAGAGTAAATATAAATCCATAAGCCAAAGCAGCCCTATTATTATTGACACTTTCACTCAGATAATCAGAGTTCTATTAATTTAGCTCCTAATTGGTCAGACTTGATGGGAATATGGCTAGAGCATTTCTGAAATTAAACCATAAGAGGCTGTATGAGCCTTGAGCGAACAACTAGGAGGACAATACTGAGTAACGGAACTGATTAGGTCAAAGCATATCCATTTTTTTTTAGAATGGCATAGTCAAAGTAAGTCTAACTGAGAAAGTCTGAAGATTTTCTTACTTTACTTCCTGCAACACACACTCCCCCTCAAGCTGCCCTTCACTACTCGATAAGGGTTTAGCGGGTTTTTGCCGACATGTCCATTAAGATGTAAGAAGGGACTTTGTCAGAGCAAATAAGATAAACCAGAACGTTTCCCTCTGATTGAGGACCAGCCCAGACGAGCTGTCTGTAAATGTTAATAGAGCGCAGCTCCAAAGCAGGTGAGCTAAGGTCAGGATTCATAACAATATGTGTGTTGCTTTTTATAGCTGATGTGTTCATCAAAGATAACTCAGTGTCTATAGGAAGCCTGAGGCCAGAGTCGTTGTTTAAGGGACGATAATGTCCTTCTCGTACTAGTTCTTTTTTTTTTCCATTTTTTTTTTCATTGCTCGACACAGACCCCTTCTGGATACACAAACACAAACACACAGACAAATCCACAAAGGCTCATCGGTGTGTGTTTGAGTAGGTACTACCCAAACACACACTGCATATAAACCTATGACCCTTCAGTCCAGATGGTTAATGATGGAGCTCGAAAAAGATGGACATTGACTATCTGATGAAGGGCAGTGTGAGTTGATGTGGGTGTTTCTGCGTGTATATGTGTGTGTGTGTGTCAGAGTGCTAATCGGTGTGTGAGCTGAGGGGACCTGGGGTGAAATGAGGAGCTTGAGAGGAAGCTCTCCTCTTGGCACAGAGTCCCTAAAGTTGTTATCCGCCTTCAGCTGAGCCAGACTCTGAAAAAGTGTTGCACATAAACAGAGAGCTTGCTTATTTCTGTTGTCTGATGTTCTCTTTCTCAAATTCAGAGTTGATATTCTGACTGAGCAGCTTGTGTATGTTTGTTTATGAATGCCTCATAGGTTCACATGCATGAACATCATGACTCGCTTTGGTGCTTTGAAAGGACAAAATAAAAAAAAACAAAAAAAAAACAAGTTTGAGTTTCTTGTGGACACTTTGTCACACATGTAGTGAAAGTGATTTATACAAGCTCCAGCTTGTTCATACACCTCCCACTAAATATTTGGTTAAATATCCTGTAGCAAGTTGCACATCGACCAAACACTTTTTGGAGCTTCTAGCACAATTTTGGCTTATTTTCAAATTTAGCGGAGTTCGTTTAAACTGTTTGGTTTCCTGATTCTGACCTGATTTTTGTTTTTTAGCATAATGTCCATGTTTTTGCACAATAATGGCAATAGTGGTGTTCCAAAAGTTTAATATTAACTTACTTACATTTTTCAGCTGTGTTCTTGGGCTCGTTGTCTGATCGTACAGGTTCCATCTCACCCAAATTATAGCCTTTGGAAATTACCCAAGAACCACCAAAGCTTCGGTCAGTCATAAAGTGGGAAATACTGAAACTCCAGTGTCATTAACCACAGGGAAACCAGTTTAACATCAGAACATTAACTGAAAACCTCCAAACTAATATCCAAAATAAACACATTAAAGCCGGCATTACCCCTGGTGTACAGACTAAATGCCTTCTGGAGAAAATGTTTTTGATGTCAGACGAGTATTGTATTTTTTAGGGGAGAGCGTAAGGGAACCTGCTGTTCTGTGGTGGCAGCATTATTCTGTGGGGCTGTTTTGCTGCACATAGTAGAAATGAAAGACTGCCTCATAATTCTTTTGCTTCACCTTCAAATTTAAAATGCGGACAAAAGTGTGTTTTCATCCAGGTCAGTTTTCTCAAACACACATCAAACCCAGGGTTCTGATAAACTCTCAGAGTGATAATTTGTGAAATATGCTTAGTAGGTGAGTTATCAATAGAACACATTCAAGTTAAATCTACAGATTTTGATAAAAAAAAAAAATAGAGAGAGCACTTAAATATGCAGCCAGAATTACGCTGGAAGCTTATTGGTGTCAACAGTAAGTGTATGATTGATGTGCAAATTACTGCTGAGCGTTTATCCTAATGTCATAGGGATTTATGTGTGTATTTGACCCTATATGTGTAATGTCATCCCAGTGCAACTTGGAAGAAATGAACGATAAATTAAAACTTGTTTTGAAAACTCACCCCGGAAAAATAAGAGCTCAAATGCATTTCTGACAGCTGAAGACGGATGACATCCATGACCGGGATGTATGTAGGAATAAAGTCTCACAAAGACAAACCCGCGGACGTACACGGCCCTCATAAACGACTGCAAAATAAACGTGCGACACGGCGAAACGAGGGTCAAGCGAGCAGCTCTGTGTTGGAGCCGTCAGCGTTTCGTCGGCCATGAAAGCCTCGCGGTCGACCTGCAGGCCTGTGAGTCCGACGTCCACAGATTCCAGCTGTGGCCGTCTCTCGGTGCGAATATGAGTCAGGCGCGAACGTCGGTGGATGTTTGTGGGTTCAAAACTCAAAAACAATCACTTTGTTTTGCTGCTGACGACGTGGCTCGTATTTGACACATGGATTCGTGTTTAGTCACATTGTGTTTCAATTTGAAGGCAGCGGTGGGAATCAGGAGAGGGGCAACGTCTCACTTTGAGCAGAAACAAACCAAAATAAAAGCAGGGAAGTATATGTTTTAATATGTTTAAAAGAGTTTAAAAAGCTCTCTGACTTCGTTTCCAATATTAATATTGAATGTTGACAGGTGTAAAAAGACGTAGCTTTGCTCTTCGTTGAGCTGCTTTTTTTTTTTTTTTTTTTTTCCCTCTGGGGCCGAAGATTTTAACCTTTGGTTTCATGAAATTGTTTGGGAAAAAACATTTCTACAAATCAAATTAAATACTGTTTGCATTACTAATGAATACTGGAGGAAGTTACCAATAAAGTTATTGATCGTGAAATGGAAATACTGAATTGCTCCATGAACCTCATTTTTAATACACAGTTCAGAGAATTGGTCAGGAACAGCCGATGCTGTTCTGTATTATATGATATCATATGTCATTTGTGTGAGAGTTTGACATGTCAGTGCACAACAAAAAAAAAAATAAATAAAAATATTCAATTGTTTAAATAATTTTGTTTGCTAGATGGAACATTTTGGAGTTTGTGCTACTTGCAGTTGATTTGGGAATTTTGTTCCTGAAATCTTAATAAACTTTATTTTTAGTCTGGTTACAGACCTGTTTTATTTTTAAATGCGACATTTTAATTAAATGGCTTGTTGTCCAAGGCAACACTGGAAACAGCAAGGGAATATATAAAAGTCACAATCGCAAAATATTACAATCGGGTCAGTTTTAACGCATTTCAAAACTAGTGAATATGTTAAAGAAAAAATAAGTAAATCAGCAGCAAGAACCAGACTGCGGCTGAAAGTGGAGTTTTGCTGAGGCAGTCCTGAACTCCGGCTTCAATTTATCCAGTGAGTTGGAGGAAGTTAGAAGAAATGTTTTCTGAGAGCAGAAGTGTAGAGACGTTGTAGACCGGCACCCTACCCAGGACTTTAAAAAAGGCCAGCCTACCCTACTTACTCTTTCAGAGAAATAAACTAAATTTAATCAAACCATTTAAAAATGACAAATTTTCTGACCAGACAAACTTTACACCCACAAATAACATCCATCGTCAGTCACCTTAATGGTCTGCCTGCTGATTCGTTGCTTTAGCGATCTCTTGTCGCCATGGCATGAACCTTGTTGCTTCCTTTATTCTTCAGATGTCTTCTCCTTCTTATGGCAAAGATTTTATCTGATTCATAACCCATGAGCAAAAAGTGTTTGAATACTTTGCCTGTTTTGGGTTTTTGTCTACAACAGGCAGGTGAGATCTGTGAATCTGGAGAGCACGTCTTAAAGAAGGAT